CACGACACGGAAGACGTAGAATCGCAGATCGATCGGGCAATTCATTCCCGGTCGGTCGTGTTGCCGATTCGATTATAGTTTTTCCCCGTTCGATTTTCTTCCGTTTCACCCCGAAGCGACGGGTGAACACGAGCGACAGGCGAATGTCACGCGCAACGCGCACCGCGATCGATGGCTAGGTGTCCACACGGCGGGTACCTGCCCCGTGAAATTCCCTTTAAACGGCCGACGATTAGCCCGTGTGCGCTCTACCTGTCAAACGGTTCAAGGAGCTCGATCGATGGCTCCTCACGCTGCCCGCGATGCTTTCGTTCGCTGGCGAGCGGAGCTGGTTTCACGGGGACGGCCCGTAACGATCGGCTAGCCGTGACGCCGTTGAGAACCGTTCCCTCCGATGTTTGCCCACGTTCCGCGGTTCTACGAGTGGTACGTGGATATTCACGCCGCCTACCCGTCTACACCAACGCTTTTCCAGTGGCGGCGTTAATCCGCGGCCGACGTTACGAGTCACGAAATAGCCCGCCGCCCATGATACACCACTTTCTTCGTATCTCCCGGTTATTTCCAACTCGGTATCGGGAGTATGAAAAGCGGCGCAACTAATTTGTTTTTCATCGTTGAGCCGCGTCGCGGTTCTCGGAAACCGAGGAGTCGGGTTTCTCGTGGCGTGACAACGGACCTCCGAGAAACCGGTTAATTAAAGGTTAATTGAAGTACGGTTCTCATTGGAAATGAGAAAAAGGGGAATATAGGATACCCAATGGTGACAGACCTGCCATCGGCTAACAGGCCATACTTCTCGTATACCTTTTTACCGTGCCACGCCAATGGTTATGCGATTTGCCGTACGACTTTTCGTTCAGCTCGTTTTTTCCCTTGACTAAAAGCTTCATTTTTTTCCCGCGGAGGCACCGTTCTCGTGGAGCAGCCGCTTTTTAAAGCGTTTCAAAGCGCGTCCGTCCCGGGGGAGTAACCTTGTGTATGCGCAAATTATCACGCACTAACGAACATAGGCGAAACGGTTCGCTGGCGGTGCGGGAGGAAAGCAGAGATCGT